TGTAGATACCTTGCGTGCTGTGCTGCGGTGCTGTGCCCACTAAACGAGGTTATTAATACGCAGAGGCACGTGGCTTGCTAAGGGGGGGGGGGGATCACCGCAACAGTGGGGGGCTCGGCTCGGGGAGCATCGTTCGGATTCCCGCGCGCCTGCTATGTGCGACGCTCTCGAAATGCTTCTCGTTGCTAAAAGTTGTCTCAACTCCCCATTCCGGCAGCCGTGAGTTTAAAATTAAACTATTTTTTAAAACGCGGGTTTGCTCTTCTTACCCTCTATCTAAATCGCGTAAGCGTAGGAATTCATTTTCGCTTATTTTTAGTGCTTAATTGGCTTAGGACCACCGCTAACTGGCGTGTTTTTAATTATTCGTCGGTCGACGCGGAGTCGACTTGCGGGGGCGGAGTGCTTGGTTGGTGGACGGGAGTCGGGGTTGTGAGTCGGGGTTGTGTGTCGGGGTTGTGTGTCGGGCTTGTGTGCTCTAGAGCAGGGGTCCCCAACCCCCGGGCCGCGGACCGGTACCGGTCCGTGGCCTGTTAGGAACCGGGCCGCACGACAGGAGGTGTGAGCGGTGAGTCCGCGCTTGGCCCGCCCCCATTATTTTATTATTTACCACTTTCGTCCGCGCCTCTTTCCCGCACTGCGCACTTGTCTCAGTCACGTGTTGTTTGTAAGCCCACAAGCTGACCCCTAGTAGCCACAATGAGTAAGCCCACAAGCTAACCCCTAGTAGCCACAATGAGTAAGCCCACAAGCTAACCCCTAGTAGCCACAATGAGTAAGCCCACAAGCTAACCCCTAGTAGCCACAATGAGTAAGCCCACAAGCTCTAACCCCTAGTAGCCACAATGAGTAAGCCCACAAGCTCTAACCCCTAGTAGCCACAATGAGTAAGCCCACAAGCTCTAACCCCTAGTAGCCACAATGAGTAAGCCCACAAGCTCTAACCCCTAGTAGCCACAATGAGTAAGCCCACAAGCTAACCCCTAGTAGCCACAATGAGTAAGCCCACAAGCTAACCCCTAGTAGCCACAATGAGTAAGCCCACAAGCTAACCCCTAGTAGCCACAATGAGTAAGCCCACAAGCTAACCCCTAGTAGCCACAATGAGTAAGCTCACAAGCTCTAACCCGTAGTAGCCACAAAGAGTAAAAACAAACGTCGCTAGAGAGCTTCTTTCAAAAGGGGGAAAGACCCAATGATGAACCCCCCGCCCCTCCCGGTCCGTGAAAATAATTGTCTTCCACGAAACCGGTCCCTGGTGCCAAAAAAGTTGGGGACCGCTGCTTTAAAGGCTCGGGGTCTTGCGTCTATTGTAAGAAACGCTTTGGCTCGACAAATATGTGTGCGTCACTGATTTCGTCGTTAGCGAGATGGATAACACCGGGCAGGAGGAGGCCCCTCGGCTACGTGGAGGATTGAGTCGCAGCCTCTCTTGCAAATTCATGATTCACGATCGTTGTTGAAGGAATATCACGTCTTTACTCAGGATCTTAATATGCAATCGTTCATAGATCTTAATATACTTACACGCTCATGGTATGTGCATCGCATTGTGCATGTAAGAGTAAATCGTACAAACATAAATCGTGGACAGTGTTTATATTTCCATACCGCGATGGTATGTTGCTTTTCATTCGCAACAACTTTGAAGCTTGCATTTGAAGCTAAAGTTTAGCATTCATATGAGATATTTTAGCGAGTGCTCCCAATTTAAATGGCATATTCACTAATATCTTAGGTCCTTGGATTATATCACATTAAGAAGAGGTTGTCCAGAAATCATACATGGCACGTGCTTTGGAGCAATGCGTTTATAAAATGCCATTTCAATATGCCACCATTTCAGATTTCACTTCATCTAAGTTTCAGTTTTCAGTTTCCATTTTCCTTTCAGGCTTTTTTATGTGTTGACTTTCAACCGAGTCTGCAATGTAATGCCGTGTCGTCGAGATTTTCAGTTCAGTTAAAATGCTTCTCTCTTTCGGGTTGTGGCCACAGTGTCGCGGTTACCACGCTGGACTTGCAATCCACGTGTCGCCAGTTCGATCTCCCTGTGGCGCAGTGGAATCAACGATGCAAGCGTCCCAAGTCCACCTGCATCTCCTCAACGCAGTATAGATATATTAATGATTACACCACAATGTAATCGATTGCCAGGTCATTTGTGGTGGGGAGAAGTTTCCAATACTTCTGGCTAGTGTGGAAGAGTAGGCCAAATACCCTACTGCAAGGTACACTGCACCTTTTTCCTTCTTCCTCTCGTGGAAATTTAGGCACGAATTGTTGAGTTCGGATGAAATGTCTGATATTGTCATGGCAGTTGCATAGTTCAGTGTGGTGGTAGTAAATTTTTAAGTGTAAAAAGGGCTTGAAAAATGTTGTGTTAATGAAAGTAACTTTGCAAATAACTGCTTGCAGGTGTTGGCAAACCATATATTAGAAAGACTTTAAAGAGGTTTATGCAGCCAGATTTCTGTGATTTTAACTTATTTAAAATGTGGAAAAATATAAATGTAATGCTGATGAAAATTTTACAAACGACAAAACCTGTCATATTAGCAACTTAGCAAAAGCAAAGCTTTGAGACCCTGTTTATAAATAGGGCCCTGTAACAACTGAACTTGGAGTGCAGCTTTCCTCCTGCCAGATAAAATAATGCGCAATGTGTTCATTACGTTTTATTTTACAACCGTATAATTCTGACAATCAGAAAACTATTATATATGAGGGCACGTCAAAATATTTAGAGAACGATACATTAATCCAAGGTTGGGTTTCATGGACCCGTCGTCTTTCTGTAATAACTATAGAATATACATATTTATTTTATGATGATTATGTTTAAAATATATTTAAGCATGAGTGTTCATTTGTGTAAAAATCGCAAGCAAAAAAACTTTCTGAATACACGCTCACACAATCGTACACACACAGCCGACGTGCAACGCTTGGTTCGTGCGTTCTCTAAATCCCGGCAACCCAGGTTTAAGTTGCGTTGATTTTTGTTTAACCAGGTGTAAGAACTCAAGAGACCAGGATAGGTCTTATTTGCAAGAGTGACCTGTGGGAGCAGTCTACCAGTAGTGGTTAACGATTGCTATGTATAATACCAATTGAGGAATTTTCGAATTCGTCAAAGTTGGACCCCAATCCCGCACACAACCGCCTACTCTTGCGAATGGCGTCAGGGGGGAGCTTTAACATCCACTGTGAAGAAAAGGGCGAACGTGTATATGGTTGACACACTACCGCAGTATTGACCAGCGCGGCCACTGGATTCGAACCGTGAAACTCTGCAACAAGCGGCGCGTTATAACGATTCGCATCACCACCAGGCAGTCGGAATCCGAAACTGGTCTGGTTCTCCCTTCTCCACGGTTTGCTTGCATTGAACCAATGCTACTGAAAGTAAGGACTCCCAGAAGGACTTCCAGTTGCTATGAAGTGCAAAACTTTTATTTTGTGTGTGGAGGGACAGACGTTTGAAGGAGATCGAGTGTCTACTTCGTCATTTTGAGTTTCCCTGAGGTCAACTCAGGATAGTTTTGTCTGTGAACATCCGCAATGAGGAGATTTAATTGCATTAAAAAAAATTGTGCTGGCCCTATTAGGTAATTCTTCAGCATTCCGGCCTCAATCTGCGATCATTAACATAATTTACTCCTATTCGGGCTGCACGGGGGATCTGTAGCTGTGTGTGTGAAGAATTGTATACTGACCAGAGAAACGAGATGCTTAAATTGGATTATACATTTCTCTCTCTCTCTCTCCTAGCTTTAGCTGATAGAAAATCCCACCCCTCCCCCATACACAAGAAAGCAACTCGAGAAGCTTCAAGTTACAACTCAATTGACTTCTTTGTGCCTTCAGCATGTATTTGCAAAGAGCCGAAAATGGTTTGGGGGCCCTCAAAATATCCACTGACCTCTCTCCAGCGGCAACCCCCCCCCCCACCCCCCGTGCCGGGCCCGCTCTGTAATCTCCCCCACACAATGAACCTCATTGTTGCAGCCGGTAAAATTGTAGAAATGCCGATCGCAGAATAACATCGAAAAGACTGCAAACGAGGAGCGACTGCTGGAGATGTGGAACGGCCCCAGCAGTTTCGTTGGCTGCGCTCGATGCCAAGAAGTCGCCGAGCGCGCGGTGAAATTGATACGCAGAGTTTCTTCACTGTGCGCGCGCGTGTGTGTGTGTGTGTTAAATGTGTGTGTGTGTTAAATGTGTGTCGAAACATTGAAAGCTTATGATCATAATACATATATCCATGCGCGCAACGCCTACACGCACGCTGCGAATGCCGTGATGCACATTGGATGTCCGGTAGCATTTCATCGCATTTCTTTTCATTGCTCATCCCGATCGTTGAGCGCGAGTTTTGTTTTTCCCTGAACTCGTTCCTCTCCCCACATCAGTTGAACGGTTTTTTTTTACGAACGCTAAATGGCCATCTCGTACTATTTCACAGCCCTCGTGTAAATAAAACATCGCCACAAAAGTCAACCAAAACAAACAACAACATATCCGTATTGTTTCCGCAAACATCCACGCGAGAACTTTCTCAAAACTCATCTCAAAGTTTCACGAACAAACTGGGGGGGGGGGGGGGGGGGGGTGGGGGGAGGCGTTTCGCTTTCTCTCCGCAGCAGCAGCAGCAGCGGCTCGGCCAAATGGCCGCTCAGCGAGCCTACCCCCCCCCCCCCATCTGCTATCCTCATGCACCCCCCCCCCCTCTCTCACCCAGCCACTCCATCTCCCTCCATCTCCCCAACACTGTGTGTACCCCCCCCCCCCTTTTTGACAGCAGTCCAAACGCGAGCCTCACTCTGCCATACCCCCCCCACCCCGTCTCTAAAACCTCCTCGCACTCCCCAACCAACGGTCCCGGCCCTTCCAATGTCCCCGACTCCCTCCCTGTCCCCACCCACCCGCTCGCCCGCCCCTACTCTGCCTAACATCCTCTCCATGCACACATCCACCACAAACACCACCCCCTCACCCACCCTAACCCGTGTTGTTCCTGGGCGGGGTCGGTCCTTGTGAACCCGTGGGTGCTGCTGCTGCGCGTATCTCGGAGCGAGCTGGCAACGGGGGGTTTAGTCGGCAGCCGCTGTCACTGCACGGGGCAGAACGGGCGCGAGTTGAGCAAAGGAGGCGACAGAGACACAGGCGGAGGAGGAGGTGGTGGTGCGGAGAGTACAAGAGAGTTTGTTGTTATTCTATTTAATCCATCGCGCATATTCGTATAGCGTATGCCAGCTGAGAATTCTGGCGCATTTAACAGTTTAACAACGTAAAAACAGTGGATGCTACTAAACTACAAAAAAATAGTAAAATATATAACGAGCAAAAATAAAATCAAACGCAGAAACATTAACAGTAAAACAAAATACAGAAAAAAATATCGAGAGAAGAAGACGCCGTGCCAAGTCCTGGGAACGATCGAGAAGACGAGTGTTGTGTGGCTTGTGGTAAGTACAAAAAAAAGTTACACAAACATTGTAAAGTAGGTACCTGGTATACGTTTAAGAGAATCCAGATGCATTATAAACAAACGCGCTGGATTTCGCGAGCTTCGTGTCTGCGGTCGTGAAGGTTTTTGTTGTGCCTCTGAATTAGTGAAAACTGGCTTTATCGTGTAAAAAAAAAGTTTCACGTTTGTGTGGTGGTGGTGGTGGTGTTGCTTTGTAAACTTATTTCCGCGCAACTTCAACGTTGTTTTAAAAACAGATGGCAGCGGACCGTTGCTGCCATCTCTGCGAGATGATGCCGATCAAACGGGGTGGGAGGTTGTGTTTGAAATCTTTACAGTCGCTCTTCATAACGTGACGATCGCTGCTTCTCTTTCACGTTTACGCGCATTTTGAACTTCACTGCAGAATTTCAGTTGAGCGGAGCTATAAAATGTGCACTTTATTTTTTGTTGAACTTATTTCTGTAAATGTTTTCGATATTCTGTTGCTTATTTTCAGAGGGCGGAAAATTGGCATTCACGGTGGTCTTTACGTACATTTTACCCCCGTAACTTTTGTCGAAATATATTTGTCAATTCCTTTTCGTCATTTATCATTCTCAACAATTGGGGCACAACGATGAACTAATTATTCTACACCCCTTGCTCCACACGTTTTGGTCGGAAAGGCATGAAAGTCGTGGCTCTTTAGCCGATTTAATATGCTGTAATTGTCTCACGACTATCGCGGTGTTTACCAGTTGACCGATTGAAAGAAACTCCTGGGAAATATATAGTAGATGCCTGCTTTTGTTTGTCACTTGGTACGTATACTTGGCAATTGCAAGACTATTTGTGCGTGATTTAAACGAGGCTCTCTTCGACACACTGACACGCGTGTATTAGTCGCAGCGGGGAAAGTAGTACCTTCATTGACAGTTTTTGGCGCTGTAATCATTGCTACGTGACCAGTCGGCAGGGTGACAACACCCTTGCTTATGCAATTCCCTTCTCGCCTCGTGTCAACCCCCCCCCCCCCCTTGCTTTCCTTGCACCACGACTCGGCCGGACGCCCAAGGTCTGATCGTCCCCGTGGAGTCGGACTTGGAACGGGTGCGCAACACGGCTGATGTTACGCTTGGATAGAGCCCCTTTTTTAGTCAGCGCCTCTCTCTCGCTCTCCACAGCCACCACAGCCCCCCACCACCGCCAGTGCCCTTGCCTCAACGCTTGTGCCCCCCCCTCCCCCACTTCTCTCTGCCCACCCACACACGGCCACTCCCAAACGGAGCCCGAATAACTTGGTCTTGACAAACTCGGGACAAGTTGCGAGATACACGGATGCCATTTTCGTGATGAGCTTGTTGCCCGATAGGGCACGCAGCTGCCGTAAATACTCCGCGGGGCTGTTGCATTTTCTCTCCGTCAGACCGTGGCAAGGGCGTGACCAGGGTGGGTGTCTGGTTGGGTTGAGCAATGTCGTCTTATCACCAACTAACCAAAACTTGTATTTTATTCGGTTGTTCAACACAGCAAGTACGTAAAGTCACGGACACTAGGGATGCACAATGTCTGAAGGACCGCCATACACGTGTTTGTCATTAGGCGCCCCAAATAATGGTTTAGGAAACGTGAGACGGAAGAGGAAAGATAACTGAGTAGACTCGTATTGGTCTCCTATGGAAAGCTTGTCAATGCATCTTTGACCTATTTTAATATAATGAAAATGATTATTTTTACATTCGGTGTACGGTTTTTGTTTATCATGTTGCTCTTGCTGTTGATATTTGTTTTGGGAAAATTGATTCGGCCCAAAGCGGTGCGGGGGCTAGGGTCTGCAACTCAAAACTGGACGCTTGTGAGTTCAAGTCTTGGTCGGGTGGGTGGGGGGGGTTAGATTGGACCATCATCCCTCGAGGGTCCGTAAAATGAATACCGCTCGTTTCTAGATGGAAAACTCATTTTGCTAGAACTGCTTTTTATGTTTAATTTGTCGTCCTTCACACGCACCTCTGATTACCACGGTCGGCTACGTATGGTGCGATTGAAGTCCAACGTACATCGTGCATTCTGTGGGGATACTGGCTCCTGCCATAGGAATGGGGAATTCTCACCGCTGGCTCAGGGTCGCCAATGGATACGAGTACCAGCTCACGTGGTTGAGCAGAGAGGTTCTTTAGTTCACTGACGCGTATTTATGTTGAGTTTAAAAAGAACTCCCAAATAAACACCGCCTTGTTGTGAAAGACTCAACGCAAAATATCCCTCGGTTTGATATTCCACGAAGCTCATGGTCCACCTTAAACCGCATCCACTGCACAAACCATGCCAGCAGATGCGGATACCCTGGTGATGCACAAATGGAAACTTAAAAACTCTCCAGTAGTAGTGTGCGACTGTGGTCATCAAGAACAGAGACCGTAACAACGTATAATGACACAACGCCCCGATCCACAAATAGGCAGGAGATATCACAGCGATGAGACACTCCGCTGCTCTTGACGCAGTTATTTGGCTTGACCACCTGAATATGACATTGTAGTTGTTGCTCGGCATCCACATCAGACGTATGCAAAAAGAAAAAGGTTGTTTATCGGTGCGATTCCCAGATGTTTCACTTCATTTACTTTTCGATTTAAAGCTTTCGTGACTGCAAGGATTCATCTTCTTTGGTTCTTTCGGTAAAGTCACGTAGAATGAGAATAAAATAATAAATTGATAAAATAAAATAACACAATAATATTATCACGTGGCCGAAACGTCGTGAAAATATTATTGTGTTATTTTATTTTATCAATTTATTATTTTATTCTCATTCTACGTGACTTTACCGAAAGAACCAAAGAAGATTCATTTACTTTCTTAAGAGTTCGAATGTCGTCTTGAACCTGCATATATTCTCTAATCCTCTGCATGCTCCTCTTTATGTCTTTGCATCGATCACTCTAACCAAAGAGCAAACATTACAAACATCTAAACCACCAGAGCCCATTTTACTAAAACTTAGCCGACTTCAAAAGAGTGGGGCCCTCCAAAAGAGAGAGACGAGGCAGTCGTAACGGATAGCTTGCAGCTGACCGGCATGCGGACCCTGCCCATTTTAACTCGCACCAGGCTCGGGAGAAACACGTGCGCGTTGCTGGCACGGTCTGGGCCACTCTCTCCATTTATCTGCCAGCTTCCTCCATCCATCTGCATTCCTGCCATTCCTGATTCCTGTCCCTAATTAGCTACAGTCAGGCTAGAGCTTCATGAAAGCCAGATCGCATTGTTCGGCCTCTGTGGCATTGCAGTCTTTATCCGAGGGCCTTAAGTAAATCTTTGTTTTCGTCTGCGGAAAACATGTAAAATGAATTAAATCACGTTGGGAATGGGATATTTTTAGACTCACACTTACTCTATTTGAAAATGTTGCTAACTTTAAATAGGTGGAACTTTTTATTGGTTTCTTGAATTACGGCTAAAGATTGTGGCTGGCCTTTGTAACAACTTCCACAACATTGAGATGAAATTTGCATTCTTAGTAAACTGTTTAATTTTGGCATCGTCATCAGTGAGGTCAATCTACTGCTATATGGAGGGTTCCCCAAGGCCCCCACCATCATAGTCCACGACTTCATTGCACTTAAACATATCTTATTCTCGAAATTTAATTTAGCATTACAATACATTTAACACAAATGCTGAATTTCGATTTAAAGCTTTCGTGACTGCAATGATTCATCTTCTTTGGTTCTTTCGGTAAAGTCACGTAGAATGATAATAAAATAATAAATTGATAAAATAAATATTGTGTTATTTTATTTTATCAATTTATTATTTTATTATCATTCTACGTGACTACCGAAAGAACAAATGTTGAATGATAACCTCAAACATAATATTGATTGGCTTTGTAGGCAATATAATTGTTTAACAATTTTTTGCAAGCATGTTGTTAAATTTCATGAACAACTTCAGCTGTGGCCTGATGATGCCGATTGTAATACTCGGCGAAACATCACGGTACTAAAGTTGTAAATGTTGTGGCTTTACTCTCCAACACACCGGTCTGCTGAACTAGTAACGATTTGACACATTCTGTTTACGTGACAAGCCTTACTAATTGGCTGTGTCGGGTGGTGGCGGGTGTAACGACACATTTATATTCACGTGATCTAACCCAAAAAAAAACCTCTAGATTTCATCAATCTTTAGTTTTGAGTCTGTGAAACAATTCTGCCTCGTCACGAAAGTGTGGTGGTTTTTAGTATTGTAATAGCTTTCACTGAAATTGTCGATGCATTTTTTTTACTTATTTTTACCCATTACCAAAAAAGATGAATAGTTTTTGGAAACGAATACAAATGACACGTACACAAAAAACATTAAACAAATAGGAAGCTAGGAAATTGGACAAAAAATAATTGGGATGTTGTGGCATCCAACACGTTCAGCCGTTTTTTCCCATGCTATCTTCACTTTGCCAATCCTGAGAACGACAAGGGATGGGTGCTCGGTGTAAAGAGACGATTCGCAGGGTCGGACAGCTGGAAGGAGTGTGAGGGTGGCTCCTGAGGGAGAGCGCGAAGAAGATGCAGCATGAGTTGTAGTGATTGAGTTTTAACGTCGGGCAGCTTGTAGGGAAGAGCTGAGGTTATGGGAAGAATGCACGTGTTATCAATACTGAAGCCTTTCAACAAGTGTGCGATTCTGGTTGGGAAACTTACAGAAAGGATGTCGGCTACTGAACGATCTTGACGTAACTTATATTGGCGTTTGCTTTCCTAAACATTAATCGCTTAAGCAGTTGCTCAACAGTGTTTGTGATCGGGTGATTAGGTTGAATTTCGCTAATGATTACAGCGTGATGAAAGTTGGGCTGAAAGTTTGGCCTCGAGAATTGTGGCCATGGGCAGTTGTAGCTCCTGAGGTTGGACACTTGTGCGCTGAAGGGTGACTTCGCCAGGCTAACTTGTGTAGAAAGCACGAGCCAGGATAGCGCTCGTGCATGCTTGGGTGTCAGCAGGAAGTGAGAAT